GTGTGGTTTAAGCAATTGTGATGTGGGTTATTCTATGATGGGATTGGATGTATATATTTTGAGCAGCTAATCAGTTGAAAGGGAGCTTTCCTAGGGGTGTGGCCTGCTTCCAATATATTTATGGACATCCTGGGAAAAGAGATTCTTCTGTGGGTCGGGATCCTGTTGTGCTGCCTACAACTGTCTATGAGTGAACAATCCACCATTTGGCCTGGAGATCTTGGATTTGTTATTCATTGGAGTCAACAGCTGGTATATTGCCTGTCAACCTTAAGCTCATCCGCCCCTGCAGCTGCATGAGTCGGGAAAAGCCTCCATTTTGACATTTGATCCAAAAACTTGGGACTTGCCAGCTTCTACAAGTGTGTGAGCCATTTCCCTAAGATAAATTTCTCTTTCTCTGTATGTATGTATAAGCTTTACTGGTTTTCCTTCTCTAGAGAACCCAGCCTAACACACTGAATATATCATGGACTCCACAAAGAATCAACAAACCTGTTTTGGAAAAACATGTTCCTTAAAAATAAGGATGGCAGGACTTTGTCTCACATACTTTGGACATGTATCAGGAAGGAGGGAGCTCTGGTGGCATAGTGCCTGTGGCATTTGACTGCTAACCAGAAGGCTGGTGGTTCAAACCCACCGGACACTCCTCAGAAGGAAGGTTGGGCAATCTACTTCCATAGTGATACTGCCTCAGAAACTCAAGGAGGGGTGGCTAAGAGTTGGATTTGACTCAGTGACAGTGCAACATGTGACATTAGGAAGGACCAGTCCTTGGAGAAGGATATCATGCTTGGTAAACTAGAGGGTCAGCAAAAAAAGAGGAAGACCCTCAATGAGATGGATTGACCCAGGGACTGCAGCAATGGCCTCAAACATAGCAATGATTGTGAGGATGGCACAGGACTGGGCCGTGTTTTGTTCTGTTGTACACAGGGTCTTTATAAGTAAGAACTGAATTGACAGCAACAAAAGGAGTTCTGGTGGTATAGTAGATAAGACATTTGGCTGCTAACCAGAAGGTCAGCAGTTCAAACCCACCAGCCGCTCTGTGGAAGGAAGGTGGGTGATCTACTTCCATAAAGATTTACAGCCTCGAAAACCCAATAAAGGTTGCTATAAGTCAGAATTGACACGGTGGCAGTGAGTTTGGTTTAATAGCAACAACACCATACATATATATAATTTACATAGATATCAATTAGGCCAAATTTATTTTTTGAATCACTTACAACTTTAATATTTTTATGTCTTTTTCATCTTTCAATTTCTGATTGAAATAGGCTAAAAATTATGATTTCAGAATTGTTAGTATCTCTTGGAATTCTGTCAGATATTGCTATTCCATGGTTATGTTGTTAAATTTGTCCACGTCTATGATTATCTTTTTGGGTTACTGTTATATTTTAATGTGGTGTTCTTTTTCCTCTTATGTCTTTTGAGTAAATTCTACTCTATCATATATTATTGGTACTTTGCTTTCTCTTAGTTTGAACTGCATCACTTATTTTTGTTACTCATTTTATTCTCCGTTTTTCTATATGGTTGCAATGCCCATACTGATTTACAAATTTTTGTAACAAATCTAATGTTATTCAATATTTCTTTCCTATTCTCAAACATGACAATATTTTAGCACACTTTTAACTTCCAGTGAAATAATTCCATCTTCCATCTTGTTATTTTTTGTATAGAGGTTTAATTTTATATTTTTAATACAAAGGAATTATGTACTTAATAATCAATAAATCAATTTGTTTACCTATTTTACTTAGTTCTATCTATGCTCACCATTTTTCTTGTATATTGCACCTTCCCACTAGGTTTACTTAGTTTTCTTGCTAAAGTACACTTTTAAATAATTCTTTTAAGCAAACATACAGGTATTTGACAATTTCAGTCTTTGTATGTTTGAGTGGATCTTTATTTTGATATCATTCTTAGATGATAGTTTGAGGATAAAATTGTAGGTTCCATCAGCACTTCTGATCTCTATGTTGCTAGCAAAAATTTGTTTGTTCATCTAATTGCTATTACTTTGTAGACAGTATGTCTTTTTTCAAATGAAAGCTTTAAAGGTTTTTTTTCTTGATGTCTGAAGTTTGACTCTAAAGTGTCTAAATGTGTTTAATCTGTTGATTTACATCAATTCTGGCAAACTCTCTGGTGTTGTCTCTTCAAATGTAGGTTCTCCAACATTCCCTTCATTCTTCTTATGGAATCCTTCATGTCCCATATCTTTGTTTTCTCACATTTCAATTTACTTATTATTTGATGGTGACCAGAGTAAAAGTGATCACAACTATTAAATTTTTCATTTTAATGACTACATTTTACATTTTTAAAATGTATATTTTTTGTAAAGGTGCATGTTCTCTTTTCATTGGTACTTGTTTTTGTTCTAATTTTTATTTTAAAATGGATATTGATCCCTCATTTTTCTCTTTGAGAACTCTGAACATATTTATTTTTAAATCTCTGTTAAGCCCTGACAATTCCATCAAGAATGAATAAATATTATGATGGGTGGTTTTATTGATATAATTTCTTAGTGTTAGTTTCCTTGACATTTTGTTTCCAGATATTTTGTCTGCAGGTTTATTGTAAGTGAGAAGTTTTTTGTTCCTTTTTTTCTCTTTTTCATCTCTAATCCAATGGTTTTCTAGTTTTATGATTACTTCCACCTGTCTCTCCTTTCCTTTCTACAACCTCTGTCCTAAACTAGGATTTAAAATGGTATTTCAGATGAGAAAACAGTCTCTCGTATCCATTTTGTGCCAAAAATAAACAATCTAACAGAATGAATAATTATTCACTTGCCTGTAGGTTTATAAGGAGAAGAAATATAGAAATTGATGTATTTCTAGCTAATACAATTAAAGCAGTTTATTTACCTTTTGAGTTGGAGTAAAAAATTGATTCATTAGATTAAAAAAATAAATTAGCATGCAATGCTTTGAGATTAAAAGTTAATTTCCATAGAAAATAACATCAAAACATTACCATCTAGATGTCTTAAATGGAACTTTATTATTATTTTTAACTTTTTATTATGATTTGTGTGAAATTTTACAAAGCAGATTCATTTTACACATTTGTTTTGTGACACTGATTACATTCTCTGCAGTATAATAACCTTCCTCTCGTTTCCTCCCTGTGAAATGGAAACTTTTACAAGTAACCTTGAAAACAAAAAAAAACAAAACTTAAAGAGTTATATCAAACAGTATTGTGGAGAATGTTTCAACTCTGTTTTATCTAATAAGGTTCTTCTATATATATTCATCTTCAATATTCTGTCTCTTTGGGAACCTTCATCAACAATCTCTTTATCTGTTCAAAGTTCCTTTAATCAGGCAACATTCACATGGAGGAAATGTCGAACATATAAGAGTGCATAACTATGATGGGCAGGGGGGCAGGGAGGAGGTTACTGGGAAGGGAGGGGAGGAGAGTGGATTAGGGTTGGAGATAGTAATTGAGGAATGAAACCAAATGTACACGGAATGTTGACTGTAAAACAAACTCTGCTCTGTAAGTTTGCACCTAAAGCACAATTAAAAAGAAGAAGAAGAAGGAGGAGGAGGAGGAGGAGGAGGAGGAGGAGGAGGAGAAAAGAATAATGCTCCCCTCCAAGAATGCAGTATTCATCCAATAAGGATTTATTGAGCATCTTGAGGTCCTGGTGGTGTAGTGCCTAGGACACTTGACTGCTGACCAGAAGGCTGGCAGTTCAAATCCACCAGCCACTTCTTGGAAGGAAGGTTGGGCAATCTACTTCTGTAGTGATACTGCCTTGGAAACCCAAGGAGGGGTCACTATTAGTCAGATCTGACTCAACAGCAGTGAGTTTGTTTTTCTTTTTTACATCTTGACCAGTGGGGAGACAGTGGTGAATAAAAAGACTTGAGTTTACCATCTGGTGGGTGGAGTCAGCCATTAAACAAGATCAGTAAGGAGAAAGTTGTAGTATATTAGATGATGGAAACCTCTGGGGAGAAAAATAAAGCAGGGTGGGGTAGTAGGGAGTATCAGGTGGCCAGGCAAGGCCTCACACAAGTGTAAGCTCAGGTTTTAAGCTATGGGGAGACATCTGGAGAAAGGCATTCCAGGAAAAGTTCAGCATGTGAAAAGGCTCTGGGGCAGAAGCATGCCTGCTATGTCCTAGGCATAGTAGAGACCTGTGTGACTAGAGGCAGTGGGGGACAGGGAGTGGAGAGAGCAGGAGGAGACAAGGTCATAGATCATGTCAGCTTGTAGGCCATTACAAGCTTGGTGGGAAGCCACTGGGAGGTTTAAGCAGAGTAGAAACACATTTTGAGGATCCACGTTAATAGCTCACTCTGGCTGTTAGCCAGAGTAGATAGAGTGCAGGCAGGCAGGGAGACTAGTAAGGCAGTCATTGGAATAATCTGGATGAGATGACAATGGTGACAAAAAAGAAAAGAAAAGAAAAGAAAAAAACACCAAAGTTCCTTTAATCAGTAATAGCTGATTAAAGAAGGTTACTGTTTCAAATGATCAGAAACAGTATCAGAATGTATCATACATTCCATTTGTTAGAACTGATTCACAAAGCACAAATACTAAACAAATCTAAGACAATAAAATAATGTACAAAATATTATTTTTAAAGAAAGAAATATTGGACTATGATATTCTGCATCTACAGTAGTTCCTGCCACATGGTGATATGGATAATACAGATTTAGCTAGATAGTTAATGGGCAGGTTGGCTGAGTTTTTAATGTCCACGCTTTATCTTTTTCCTTCTGCTGTACTAGGCTCACAGTAGCACCAAGGATCAAAAAGGAATATAGTTTCTTTAGTCGGTTTTCATTGGAGAGAGAATGTTGGGATGTATTTATTAGGCTTTTTTACTTTTAGTGTTTACGTTTTAAAATACGGATCTAATCCATATTATTCATTATAATCATGAAGAGTTTTTAGTTAATATTCTAAAGTAAGCATACTTATAACATTTTTAAAAAACTTACCTGCTTGTGAATTGTTTTCGAATATTTTACGAACAAGGTGGTCAAAAGCATAGGTTACTTTTGCAAGAGAATCAGGTTCAAACTTTGCACCACATAGTATATCATCTTCATGTTCATCTTCACGTTTTAAAGTTCCTCCAAATGCCCAAGTAAATGCAAACACAAAAAGCTTTTCAATCATTACTGTTAATTTATCAGGATTTCTCTTCAGATACCATGGATCTTCAGCCCTGGGGTAGATATGTGTGGAAGAGTGAAAATTAGGTCATATGAATTACACATTGCTACTATTTTTATTTTTAAAGTATCTTATGTATAAGAGATTTGCAGTCAATCATTATTTCATTTATTTAGGAGATATGATTCACTTTTAAGTCAATTTATTAGCTGAGCATTAACCTGTCTTTCAAGGAGCTCTGGGTGGTACAGTGGTTAAAGTGTTTGGCTGCTAACTTAAAGGCCAGTGGTTTGAACCTTCACATCAGCCACTCTGCTGGAAGATATGGCAATCTACTTCCATGAAGATTTACAGCGTTGGAAAACCTATAAACCAAAAACCAAACCACTGCCGTGGAGTCGGATCTGACTCACAGCGACTCCTCCTTGGGTTTCCGAGGTGGTATCACTACAGAAGTAGGTTGCCCAATCTTCCTTCTGAGGAGTGTCTGGTGGGTTTGAACTGCCAGCCTTCTGATCAGCAGTAAAATGCCTTAGGCCTATGCCACCGGAGCTCGTGGAAAACCTATAGGGCACTTCTACTCTGTCCCACAGGGTCACTATGAATTGAGTCAATGCCATTGGTTTGGTTTTGGATTTTAACCTGTCTTTTGGGAAAGAATATGAGCTCATTCTTTGTAGAAAGGAACCAAGAGTAATTCTTTTAGTTTTACTCTCAACCAAGTCCTAGAGGTTGGTTTATTCCAACATAGGAGCTCTGGTGGTGTATCAGTGAATATTTTATTTATTTTTAGCTAAAGGCAGGATTTATGAAACTGGGGGAGTCTTTTCCAATATGGCTCAACCCATACTGCAAGACCCAAAGATTACTATAGTGATTAGACTAATATCATGGGGCTGCACAAGAGGTTTGTCCCAATATCAAGACATTTTGAAAAGCTCTGATTTAGCATTATCATAAAATTATTTATATATTATGAGAAACTTAAAAATATATTATTGAACTAAAATTTATTATCATTAATGCATAATGAAATTCACATTCATTAATTGACTATTGAAATTTCCAGTTAATTTCTAGAATTTCCAGAATTCAGCAAATATTATTAAATGATTACTACATGTCAGTTGCTCTGAACAAAACATACATGATCACTTTTCCCCAGGACAAAAAAAAAAAAAAAAAAAAAACTAAACCATGATAAATGCAAAGAAGGAAGAGTCAAGAGTACCATGAAGAATAATAATCAAAACCAAAGTCACTGCCATATAGTAGATTATGACTCACAGAGACCCCCACTGGGTTTCTGAGGTGATAAATCTTTACAGAAGCAGATTATCCTATCTTCCTTCTGTGGAGCGCTGATGGATTTGAACCACTGACCTTCTGGTTAGCAGCCAAATGCCTTATCCACTATACCACCAGATCTCCTCATGAAGAACAGAAATACAGGAAAACTAATTTAGATTGTGAGAGACAGGGAGAACCTCTTATCTTTGAGTAAGCAACAGTTGAATTGAAACTTAAAGAATGAGTGAGACTTGGCAAAATGTAGAAGATGGAGCATTTTGAGCAGAAGGAATACACATAAGGTCAAAGGACCATAGCTATTTGAGGAAGTGTGTGTTGGAGGAAAGCCAGAGTTGTTGATGCACAAACAGAAGATGAGCCTGGAGAGATAAGTCAATGCCATTTAGACAATTCCAACACATAACGACCCCCAAAGAGTTTCTAAGGCTGTAAATCTTTACAGAAGTAGATTGCCACGTCTTCCTTCCACAGAGCAGCTGGTGGGTTTGAACTACCAACTTTCTGGTTATAGTGAAATGTCTTAGACACTGTGCTACCAGAGCTCCACTGATACAAACACACACACATTTCACTCTCAGTGTAATGTTTGTAATGTTGTTGTTCTTAGGTGTCATCAAGTTGCCTCTGACTCATAGTGACCCTACGTACAACAGAACAAAACACTGCCTAGTCCTGTGGCAGCCTCACAATCCTTGCTATACCTGAACCCATTGTTGCAGCCACTATGTCAATCCATCTCGTTGAGGGCTTTCCCCTTTTTCTCTGTCCCTCTACTTTACCAAGCATGATATCTTTCTCCAAGGACTGGTCCCTTCTGACAACTTGACCAAAGTAGGTGAGACACAGTCTGGTCATTCTTGCTTCCAAGGAACACTCTGACAGCACTTCTTCCAGGACAGGTTTGTTAGTTCTTCTAGTAGTCCACGGTATTTTCAGTATTCTTCACCAACACCATAACTCAAAAGCGTCAACTCTTCTTCAGTCTTCCTTATTCATTGTCCAGCTCTCACATGCACATGAGGCAATTGAAAACACCATGGCTTGGGTTAGGTGCATCTTAGTCTTCAAAGAGACATCTTTGCTTTTCAACACTTTAAAGAGGCCTTTTGCAGCAGATTTTCCCAGTGCATATGTTCAATATGTTGTCTGATTTCTTGACTGCTGCTTCCATTGATTGTGGAACCAAGAAATATGAAATCTTTGACAGTTTCAATCTTCTCTCCCTTTATTATGATGCTGCTTATTGGTCCAGTTGTGAAGATTTTCATTTTCTTTATGTTGAGGTGTAATCTTTCTTTTTTCATGTTGAGTAAGTGCAAACTGCAGTCTGTAGTTTTTAATCTTCACCAGTAAGTGCATCAAGTCATTTTCACTTTCAGCAAACAATGTTGTGTTATCTATATATTGCTGGCTGTTAATGACTCTTCCTCCAACCCTGATGTCACATTCTTCTTCATATAGTCTGGCTTCCAGTATGCAGGTTGTATAAGTATGGTGAAAGTATACAACCCTGACACACTCCCTTCCTGATTTAAACCATGCACTATCCCCTTGTTCTGTTCAAATGACAGCCTCCTGGTGTATGTACAGGTTCTTCATGAACACAATCAAGTGTTTTGGAATTCCCATTCTTCTCAACATTATCCATAATTTGTAGTTATCTACATAGTCGAATGCCTTTGCATAGTCAATAAAACATAAGTACACATCTTTCTGGTATTCTTCACATTCAGTCAAGATCCCTCTGACATCAGCAATGATATTCCTCCTTCCACATCCTCTTCTGAATCCAGCTTTCATTTCTGGAAGTTTTCTCTCAATATTTTGCTGCAACCATTTTTGAATTATCTTCAGAAAAATTTTACTTGCGTGTGATATTAATGATGTTGCTCAATAATTTCCACATTACGTGGGATCACCTTTCTTTGGAATGGGTACAAATATGGATCTCTTTCAGTAAGTTGGTCAGGTTGCTGTCTCCAAATCTCTTTGCATAGCCCAGTGAATGCCTCCAGCACAGCATCCATTTGTTGAAACATCTCAGTGAGTATACTGTCAATTCCTGGAGCCTTGTTTTTTGCCAATTCCTTCAGTGCACCTTCGACTTCTTCCTTCAATACCATTGGCTCTTTGACCATATGCCACCTCCTGAAACGGATGAAAATTGACAAATTCTTTTTGGTACAATGACTCTTTGTATTCCTTCCATCTTCTTTTGATGCTTCCTGCATCATTCAATATTTTTCCCATAGAGTCTTTCAATATTGCAACTCAAGGCTTGATTGTTTTCTTCAGTTTTTTCAGCCTGAGAAATTCTGAACATGTTCTTCCCCTTTGGTTTTCTAACTCCAGGTCTTTGCTCATTTCATTATAATAATTGCCTTTGTCTTCTTGAACTGCTCTTTGAAATCTTCTGTTCAGCCCTTTTATCTTGTCATTTCTTCCATTTGCATTAGTTACTCTCCTTTCAAGAGTAAGTTTCAGAGTCTCTTCTGACATTCATTTTCATCTTTTCTTACTTTCTTATCTTTTAATGGCCTTTTGCTTTCTTCATGGATGATGTTCTTGATGTCATTCCACAATTTCTTTGGTTTTCAGTCATTGGTGTTCAATGCATCAAATCTATTCTTTAGATGGTCTCTAAATTTGGGTGGGATATAATCAAGGTCATGTTTTAGCTCTCTGGTACTTGCTTTAATTGTCTTGAACTTCAAGTTGAACTTGCATATGAGCAGTTGATGGTCTGTTCCACAGTCAGCTCCTGGCTTTGTTTTGGGTGAAGATATTGAACTTCTCCATCACCTCTTTCCACAGATGGAGTTGATCTGATTCCTGTGTATTCTACCTGGCGAAGTCATATAGCAGCTGTTTATGTTGTTTTAAAAAAGGTATTTGCAATGAGTGACTGCTAACTAGAAGGCTGGCGGTTCAAACCCACCAGCCACTCCTCGGAAGGAAGGTTGGGCAATCCTACTTCTGTAGTGATACTGCCTCGGAAACCCAAGGAGGGGGTCGCTATGAGTCAGGGCTGACTCGACGGCACATAACAACAACAACAACAATGTTATTGGTCTTGCAAAATTCTATCATGTGATCTCCAGCATCATTTCTATCACCAGGGCATAGTTTCCAACTACTGGTGATTCTTCTTTGTTTTCAACTTTTGCATTCCAATCACCAGTAATAATCCACACATCTTGATTGCATGTTTGGTCAATTTCAGGGTGCAGAAGTTGATAAAAATCTTCAATTTCCTCATCTTTGGCTTTGGTATTTGGTGAGTAAATTTGAATAATAGTAGTGTTAACTGGTTTTCCTTGTAGACATATACTGTAGTTCAGGAGAGATCTTGAAACATTCTTTGTGATGATGAATGTCATGTCATTCCTTTTTAATTTGTCATTCCTAGCACATTAGATTTTATCATCATCTGATTCAAAATGGCCAAAACCAGTCAATTTCACCTCACTAATGCCTAGGATATTGATCATTATGCATTCCATTACAATTTTGACAACTTCCAATTTTCCTAGATTCATACTTTGTACCCATGTTCTGATTATTAATGGATGTTTGCAGCTGTGTCTTCCCATTTTGAGTTGTTCCACATGACCAAATGGAGGTCTCAAAAGCTTTACTCCATTCACATCATTAAGGTTGACCCTGCTTTGAGGAGGCAGTTCTTCCCCAGTCATATTTTGAGCATCTTTCAACCTGAGGGGTTCATCTGCCAACACTATATCAGACAAAGTTTCAGGGCTATTCATAAAGTTTTCCAGTAATATATCAGACAGTGTTTTGCTGCTATTCATAAGGTTTTCACTGGCCAATTATTTGAGAAGTAGATGGCCCCTTCCTTCCAAGTCTGTCTTAACCTGGAAGTTCTTTTGAAACCTGTCCACTATGGGTGACCCTGCTGGTATTTGAAATACCAGCCTCATGGCAACACACAAGCCACCACAGTACAACAAGCTGACAGACGAGTGGTGGCTCAGTGTAGTGAGAAATCATTAAATGGCTGGCTATAAACAGACAAAAAGAAAAAAAAACATTCTAATTTGTGTTTTAAAACGATAAAATTTTTGCATGTATGTACCAGGAGACATGTACAGTCATACTAATCACAGTACTACTTAAAATAGTAAGGAACTGAAAACCATCTAAATGCTTGTCAATGGTAGAATGGGTAAATAAATTATGATGTATGTATACAAAGGAATACTTGAGAGCAGTGAAAATGTATGAAGCACAGCTACACATAAAATGGATTAATTAGAAGAATGGAATGTTAAGCAAAACTGAAAGTCATGAAAAATCATATAAAATCCATTTATTTAAAGCTCACAAACATGGAAGTCAAACAATATTAAACAATATGTTGTTGTTGTTGTTATGTGCCATAGAGTTGGCCCTGACTCATAGCGACCCCTCCTTGGGTTTCCGAGGCAGTATCACTACGGAAGTAGTATTGCCCAACCTTCCTTCCGAGGAGTGGCTGGTGGGTGTTTAGAAATATATTAATAAATGCAAAATTCAGGACAGTGGTTATCTCAGATGATAGGATTGTATAAAATGTAGGATGATACAGGGGACTTCAAAGATAAAATAATAAGCTATTTATATAGTGCCTAAGGCATCTGACTGCTAACCACCAGCCACTCTTTGGAAGGAAAGTTGGGCAATCCACTTCCCTAGTGATACTGCCTCGGAAACCCAAGGGAGGGGTCACTATGAGTCAGGTTCGACTCAACGGCAGTGTTTGGTTTATTTATATAACTGGGTAGTGTGCACGTGAAGTTTTTAGTATCATTATATTTTACACATATTTTAGAAATATTTTTTATAGTTACTCACTATTTAATAAAAAATAAAAATAATTTCTGGTTGTTATGTTGAGAATGGAGCACAATGGTAAAGAGTACTATTAGGGAAATCAATTGAGAGATTATTGCAATGACATAGGCAAGAAATGATGGAGGTTTGGACTGTGATGGTGATAGTCAAGATGTACATACAGAAGTGAAAGGATTTGAGAGCAAGTTGACAAGTAGTGTGGAAATGTGCTACATTCAAAAGCAAAGGCAATATGAATGCCTCAGGACTCATAAGGACATGCAGGAAGACCTAAAAAAGTAACTTTCTAATTGTACAAGATAGCAGAAGAAATACAGAAAATGTAAATAGTGAAAATGTAAGGAGCACTGACTGTACCAGGCGCTATGCCAGATATCTAGCACATCACATTATTATTCCAGTTTTATAAATGAGAAGTAAAAAGCTTAAAAATATTTAGTAACTGGTTTAACATTTCACGGTCATAAATGATTCATGAAATACATTCACATCAATTTTATTCCTTTCTCAAATATGTATAGAATCTGGACAAATGTATTCATTCATATATGTAATGTCTATTGTTTCAAAACTTGGCATTGTGATTGGTAATCTTATTTTGGATATACAAAGGACTTTAAACAGTAACAAAATAAATTTAAGTGGATTATGAAATAACAAAAATATTGGATCACTGACAAGTAATTCTGTGACAAGTTGAGGGCCTGGCACCTAGTAGGTACTAAAACATATTTGTTGAAAGCATGTGAACTGACCTGTTGTCTATATCCTTGAACTTGACAGAGGTTTTCAGTTTTGAAAGATTTGTCTCCACAGTTGAAGTGTCTTTTAAACCATCACCTGAAAGAGTAAAGGCATTTTTTTTTTCACAATTAATAACAGATCTAAAATTTAGCTGATTAGCTAATGAAGTTTAATCTTTAACATTGTTTAATTTGTAAATTGCCACAGGAGAACATCTTTGTTTACACAGTGTCTTAGAGCTACCTTGTCAGACCAGAGTGGGAATTACTTTACTAAGCAAAAGAGGAACAGAGAATGTTCCTATAATTGTCTGAATTTATATTTATTTATTTATATTTATTTAAAATTGCATACTTTTGTTATTCATTCTATTCCTGTAACTTTTTCATACATTTTAAATTGTTCTAAAGTGAAAGAAAAGCTTAAAACATGTAGGTGACTATCTCCAAATATGATGCACTTTACAGACTAAATAAATAGGTCCTAATAAAGTGAAACACTGAAAAAAAGAAAAAGAAAGTTACATAATCTCAAATAAGAAAGTTATTAAAACTCACATCAAACATGTGCACTTTAGGTAGATTATAGTTGTCTCTCTCCCATCCTCTGTCACCTACTTTTTTTTTTGCCCATTCCATAGGGCACAGAGAGTTAATGATTTATTCAATCTTCCTTTAAGCTTATTTTTGTTTTTATACACTTGTACTCTTATTATTAAAGTAACATGTTTCTCATAGAGCATTTAGAAAATATATTTTAAAAATAAACACAAAATAACAAGCCTTAATTCTACAACCCACAGAAAACAACCATTAGCATGTTGATGGATTTCTTTATAGTAATTTATAGAAATATTTATAGATTATATAAACATATATCGTTTAAAATTTTAAACTTAAGGAAAAAAAAAAAAAAAAACAGACTTGGGATCTCATCCTGCTTTTAACTTTAAGCCTGTCTTCATGTCATTAAAAACTATTTCAAACATGATTTTGTTGCACCATAATTTATTAAGCTCTTTTACTATTGTTGGAATTCAAATTATTGCTTCATTTTTATTAGAAATAATTCTGTTATAAATAAAGTGCTTTGTGCACAAATATTTCTCCATTTCTTTGAATAATTCTTTTTTTTTTTTTT